GGGGTGATTTCTATCTCTCTGTCTCTTCTGTTAAGTGTACTCACTCTATAGCAAAAGAACCTCTCCCCCCCAAAAATTAGGCCTATATATATATATATGGTACAAAAGTTAGAAAACTACTGTCTAACAGCTTAATAGAGTAGGAGACTTAAGGAATTGGCGGGGACAAGTTAAGGCTAAGAGCTTTAGGCTACCTTCTCCCCCCAACCCCTTGCCCTCTTGTGCTCCTTCTGTTTCTTTTAGTTAGGCCTCTTCCCCATTGGACTTTCTCCTTAGTTAAATGATCAAAAGGTCTAGTTAGAAAAACAAGAATTTAGATTACTGCATTCTCCAGCTAGGGCTTTTGTATAACCGATAAGGCAGATGCCTTGTAAAAACCTGTAAAATGGCTGTGACCAGCAGTTGACGTAGTGGCTATGTTGCTGGACTCCTGCGTAGTCAACTGTGGTTCGAGTCCCGGACCCGGTGGCTTAAACTCACGTCGGGCATGTGTGCGTGCGTGCCCAAGATCCCGAGAGGAGAATGGAGGAGAAGGGATTGCGGCGTGGCTGTCCCCCCTGGGGGGTGATTTCTCGCTTTCTGTCTCTCTCTGTTTTTTCTGGTGAGTACATGCGCTCTATAGCAAAAACTTCTAAAAAAAAAAAATAAAAACAAAAACCCTGTAAACTGGGCTTCGCCCTCTTGACAGTACTCAGCTGCTCCTTCCAGCATCTACTAAAACTTAGGTTCACTTCTCAGTATAGGGAAAATTCAGAACAGATTTCAAGGAGTTCCCAATTAACTCAGAAAAGTGTTACAACAAAATTGGCAAGGCACCTTAACTTTTGATTTAACTCTCACTTTAACTGCACCCAATAGTCACTCATGGTAATGCTGAAGGCTGGGAACGTCTCTGAGGGCAGGATCTAAAAATAGCCCAGATCAGAGCCTCTGCCGGGGTAGCCCAGGCACTGAACAATGCCCATGACTGGTATCGTCATGTCCCCCAGTGGGGCCTTGACCCTAGTGTAGAGTTGATCACTAGAAATGAGACAGAATGCACTGAGCTCTGAAGGGAGCTCAGGACTTCCGGAGTCTATGCTGGTCTTTAAAATTGATGATTGATAGGACCCAAGACCCCAATGGCTCCCCTTGGACATCTAACAATTTCACTGGACAAGCCTCAGGTAACCCTTAAAGTGACTAAATTCTGTCTAAATCAGAAGTTAAGGTTGTTTCCAAAAGTACAACTCATAAAAGAATTAAAAAAAAAATTAGTAACACAAGTTGACTGACCATTTGACAAAAGAGAAAATTGTAAGACCTAGCCCGAGGGGAGACATCTCTATCAACAACTAAAAGTTCTTGTAGCCACCCCGGACTCTGTCCTCCTGTCCTCACCCTCCTATACTCAGGAGGAGAAAAAATTGGCCCACAAGCTGTAGGCTACTAGAGGACCTGAAGAATGGTTGCTGTTACCAAATCTCAGGCCAATAGTCCCCAAGGTCCTTGAGCAAGTCATCAGAAATCAGGTATACCAGATTACCCACCTGAGAAAAAATAAAACTAGCTAAAATGGTTAGAAAAATAATACTTTACAACTAGTCTAGATAGCCTTATTAATGATGTTATCTTAAAATGTGTTGCTCACACACAGGTAAATTCTAAACTCTTAGACAGGCTCCTTAGAAATCAAATCCCGGAGGAAAAACAAACTTGGGAAACAATAAAAAACCTATGGTGTCAATAATGTGAAAAAAAAAAAAAGAAAAAAAACTATAGTGTCTAATAGTTCAATCTCAAAATAAAATAAAACTAGCTAATGTAAAACTAACCTGGTTTTACTTTTCTTCAAAAAAAAAAAAAAAACACCCTAAATAAATAGCCTTGTTTCTATAAATAACTTAAAACAATAGACAGGAATTCAGTAAATGTTAATAAAGTAAATGTTTGTTATTGAACTTGACTGTTAAGTTAATTTTTAAAGTTAAATTTATATAAATAAAAAATAAGATAAAAAACAAAAGGGTTATGGCTGTAAAAATGTATTTCTAATAAAAATGGTTAAAAGAAAAAGTTTTACTACACAAAAATTTTTGTGTAGTTAAAGTTTTCATCTTAAAATGATTATATCAAAACAAACAAAAAGGGACAAAAATTAAAAGGTATAAAACATGTTGTTAAAGGTTTAAGTTATAAGAGTCTAAGAAAAAGTTACAAAATTAATGAAGTACTATCTTTGAATGTTATTTACAGTATAACAACTAAAAGAGAGGCACCCCTCCAACTAGTCTAAATGGAGCCTCACACAGTTGTACTGGTTACTCCTACCACTGTTAAAGTTAGCCTGTAGGACTGTCACACTGAAGCCAAAAGGACAGCTTCCATGGACTCACCAGGGCCTTGACCCATAAGGATAGGCCAGGAAAGTCCTTTTTGACAGTGCTTCGGGGACTAGAGAGCAACAGCCCTGCTCTATTCACTCCAGAGGCTGACTACTCTAAGTCAGACATTGTCAAAAATATGGCTCAGCAGCTCTACGACCAGATGGTCAGAAAGAGGACAGGCTGCTGCTGACTCATGGGATGGTTAGAGTGACCTCTGACGTAGGCTCCTTGCCCCTGTTAAGTCCTCTATTAACTGTACTTCAAATTTTGACTTTTGGCTCTAGTTTACTCAATTTTCTTACCTGATCCCATCTCCTACAGAATGAAAATTGTTAAATATTAAATGCTAGTTACCTGTAAATCTAGAGCCCAAATATACCAGGCACTATACTGCCAGAATGACCCTCCTTAACAGATATTTGAGAAGACTCAAATATGATATGGTTTCTGTTTTGTAAAAAAAATTGTTATTTCCATAAGTACCAAACCAAATGCTGTTGTCTCAAAAAGTGTTGTATCACAATCTCCCTGTAAGTAACTGAACTTAGTGGCTAAAAACCCATAAATATTGACCCAAGCCAGTCTGACCACACACTGGTGCATGTAAGCAACTGTGCCCAGCAACTGGAGACCATGAAATCAGCCCAAGTATGTTCAAACTGGACTTGAAATTTGGTAAAACTTACCTGCCAAAAGAGACTATCACCCTGCCCTCTAGCTGATACTGATGAGTCAGTGATTTGATCCCTGTAAAAAAAAAAGTGGAGAATGAAGTAGACCTCCATTTTTAACTCCTCTCTGTATTGGAAACTCACTTTCTTCTTCTGTCAAGAATAAACAGAGTGATTAATTAACAGGCCAACTGTCTGCTAAATAACCCCAGACTCCTTAGCTAAGATGTTCCTTAGTGATGTAATCATTAGTTGCCAGAACCCTTGCCCTGAGCCATGAAAACCATCAAGATTCCATTGTGTTTAGGTAGGGATGGAACATAGCCCTAGGAATGATTAACCTGCTTGTCCAGCTTTAACAGGCTTCTGCTTTTACCCTACCCCCTATGCTTCCAAGCCCACGGTGCGTGTGATCATCACGTCATACCGGACATGATTGTACATTTTTGGCTTATATAAGCTCCTTTCTCCTTTCACTCGGGGCTGCAGGGTTTTGAGAGACATGAGTCCCCCCATATGTTGCCAGCTTGATCAATAAACTCCAATAAATTTGGCTGTGTCTGGATGTCTTCTTATTTCTCGCTGATTAGACGACAACACATGGAGACTGTGACCATTGAGATGAGTTATGTTTTGTAGTAGTGTTAAGTGAGACAAATAGAGGAGATGGAAATTTAAGTTGTAAAACTTATTGGTAGGGACAGAAGAAAGATATGAAGAGAAAGGAATGATGACATTCAGTGATTAAATATGAGAAAGAATGAAAAAGTGATTTTGCACTTTTGAGTCTTAAGGATAGGGACCATTATGGTTTCATTAAGAGAAAGAGAAATTCTGTATTAGAAAAGACTTTGGGGAACATGATGAGTTTGGAGATGTGAAATTAGAATATTTGGTTGAAAGTGAAAGTAACTCAAACAAAATGAGATTAAACTGTACGAGAGAATTTGTAATGTTCATATCTGGAGAGTTCATACGTGCATATGGCTTTTGGCATAGTTGGATCCAGGGTTCAAATGACATGATGTAGGCCCTTCTCTTTCCTTACTATCTCTGTCCTGTTAGCTCAGCTTGTCCCATTTATTTTCATTCTGAAGACAGGTTGTCAGCAAAATCTGGAGTTTTAGGCATATACCTTAATTGCTTCATTCACATCCTAGCAACCTCAATTGAAATGACTTACTTGAAACATCCTTGTGTTTTAAAATGTAGGTTTTATTACTTTTTAAATGTGGTGAGGCCAAAAGAGGACAATTACCATTTAAAAGATAGTTTTCAGATTCTTTTGGCTAGGTACCAGTGCTTTCCTTATTTCTTTCAACAGAAACATTAACTTTCTTTTTTTAAACCCTTCTTTCTTCATATTTTAAATTTTTTTTCTTTTCTTTTCTTTCTTTCTTTTTTTTTTTTTTTTTAAATTTGCCAGAGGGCACATGTGCTTACTAGAGACAGGCAGAGAGACAGACAGAGAAAGCACGCCTTCTCCCCGATGGCGTATGATCACACTGTAGTCCCTTTCCTTCCATTTCTCCATCCTGTTAAGATTTGGGGTCTGCATGTGCACATGCTCAGTGTTTTTCAAGGTGCTGGGGGCCAGGATTCGAGCTGTGCAATTGGCCATATGAGATCTGGCTCCCTTAATCACGAGGCTGTGGGGCTGGCTCTTCATTGTCTCCCAGGTTTACTTCTTACTTCCCCATATTAGCTGCTGCCTTTCTAGTCTCCCTTTTTCATCCATCTTAATGTTGTCAGATTGGTCTCACTGGGGAAAAATCACTTCTCTGCCCCAACAAAACCCTACCTCAGTCATTAGATTATGCATATAGAGAATGGACTGTATTTAAAGTCACTTCATGTTCCTCCTCTGTGATTTTTAATGATATTTAGTGACTTAAATGAGAAAATGTATGTTTGAAAACTTTTTTTTTTTAAATGAATAATCAGCATTTTATTTTTTCCCAGAGGACAGATAGTCCTTCAGTCCTTAAAGACTCGGCTCCTTACCTGGGCTTTGGTGGAGGGTGAGGGGCAGCAACCACAGGTCTGAATCGGGGTGGGTCCTTGCGAGATCGGTTCCTGACTACCTTGCTATGAATGGCGCAACTCACACAGTAATGTAGCTTCACATGCCGCTTGGGGAGTACATAGGCATCGAAGACACTTGCTTTGGAGATGCCGCTAATGACTGCGGCCTCTACTGTGTTTCGGATGACGAACTTCTTAGCCTTGTCCTTGGACACACATCGGGCGCAGTTCATGCAGCGAATAGGCTGCACATGCCTGGGACCATTTTTGGCACAGCCGTTGTTTCTTCTTTTCTTCGCCATCTCGGAAGCAAGGCCGTGAGAGAGGCTGAAAACTCTTTATAGATGTAATATAGTTCAGATGATGATAATTTCTTAATTTCTCATTCTATGCTGTATGAATTTTCAGCCTTTTTAAAACTAAATTTTTTGCCTTATCTCTTCTTTCTAAGTGAATTTTCTCTCTGTCTTAACATAGGTCAAGTTTGTTTCTATCTTAGCATCTTTCTATACTTTGCTCTCTTCTCTCTGCTAACTAAATGCTAACTATCCTTCAAAGTGTGAATGAAGTTCTGTCTCATTTATGAAGACTTTTCTAATTGTCTAGATTGTCCATATTTTCTTTCTTTTTTTTGTTAAAGTTTATTGAAAGAGAGGAGAGGGAGAGAGAGAGAGAGAGAGAGAAAGAGAGAGAAGAGACAGAGAGTAGTATGTCCAACAGGATCTTCATGCCATGGTTCAGCTGTGGTCTCAGCTGGCTCAGATCACAGACATGTGTGTGCACCCAGCATGCTCAGGTAGGTCCCAGAATGTGAATCCAGGATCTTACCTATCTGGATCCAGTTGCATTACCATTGCACCACCACCTGGTGTCTTTGATTTATCTTACACTTCAGTCTCACTGCTGATTATTTAGCTTGTAATTACTGCATATCTTTTTGTTTTCACAATATTCTATACTTCCAAGGGCAAGGATTCTGATGTTCATTTCTTTCATACCATGGAAAGTTCTAGATAAATAGTTTTAAATAAATAGTTGCTGAATGATTAATTATTTATTTGAAAAGTTAGTAATCTGCAACAATTGTACTTTGGATATATTTTGTGAACTCTTTTTCCCATGGGAAAAAATAATTTTGGATTGATTAGACTGACAGATGCTGAAATAATTTAGTTCAATTACACAAATCCTTACGGAGTTCTAGAACATATGGGTAAATGCTGAATAAATATTCATTTCTTCATTTGTTCAGCCAACAAATATTTATTGAGTATACACTATTTGCCCAATATTGTGTGTTCCTGTAATAAATGTCTGCTATTAGACATTTAGATATTGAAAGCCAAAGAATCTGACATGGTCTTTAATTTGGTTTATGTATATGATCAATGTTGATACCACTGGATGATAATAAAGCACTACAGAAAAAGCAAATGATATATTTATGGACATGTGATGAAAGGTGTAATTCATTCTGATTCTGGTAGTTCAGGAAAGGATTCACAAAGGAGATAGTAAGGAAAAATCAAAGTATTCGGGGAAGATGCATTTAAATTCATGTTTGCTATATTACAATTTTGTATTTTATGTAGGGTGTTGTTAAAAATTAGCACACAGAGAATTTCATTTCTGGAAAATTGAAGTAGATAAAGTTTTTCCTATTTACCCCACTTCGTACAATTAAATGATCTTGACATTATATACAAAACAAATATAAAAGGACTTTGAGATGTGGAAAGAAGAAGGAAGGTCAGCCAGGGACATTAGGATCTGAGGAATGACTTCTGAAAGAGTTCTGTGGATTTTCTTTTTGCCTTTTTTTTTTTTTTTTTTAATGCTAGAAGTACACGTTCATAAGTATGAGAGAGAGAAAGAGAATGTCCCAAGGGAGTCATACTACCATCCCTTTTCCTCCACTTCTCCATCCCATCGGGATGCTAGGCATTGCACATATACCTGGCATGTTTTTCAACCTGCTGGAGCTGGGATTTCAACCTTGGGCAACCATGTGGGACGTGGTTTCCTTTGTGCAGTGCTTAATTTTTTTTTTTAACTTAGAGCTGAAATGCCAATGGGTGAAGACAAAATAAAAGGCCCCACAAAAGCCTGCTCTCTCTTGCTAAAGGACCATGAAGGTGATAGCCTAGTAAGACAGAAAATTTTTAGAAGGTAACCACTGTACTTTATTATAAAATGTGGAACCATCCTTACTCATGGCAACAAAAACTGGGTAGATACCTTAGACTTCTACCCTAATGACACTGTGATGAGATATTCCAACACTCCTGCCAAGGTCATATTAGAGAAGAATAAGTAAGCGCCAGAACTTTGATCCCCACTAGTCGGTAAACCCCCCACGTTTAGTAAGATTCACACCTGTAAGATTCAAGAAGATGAGTGAATCTCCAATTGGATCAATCCAAAGAGATTCCTGC